AAGTCATTTATATTCTTGCTTTGTGCATTATGCAGATGCCAATTAATTTAACTTCCATGCAGGTCAAAGTAAAAACATGAATTAAAATAGCAGGGCCCACTTTAATTTAAGGTCATGAGAATAAAGGAAATGATAATCAACTGAAGAACCTCTTGATTTTTAAACAAATTCTCCTTTCTAGCACATCAGGAAATGTATGGAGAACAGTATGGAGAAGATGCATGCCAATATTAGGGTGTAATGGGTTGAAGACATCATCTTATCAGTTTTATATTTGTAGAGTATTGCTTGAATATATCATTGTGGTGAGTGCAAGTGCCTGGTAAACATCAGTCTATGGTCTTCTACTCTTCCCCCATAGAGTGTGCCTTGTGTACATAAAAATTGAAGTTTGGTGCCTTTACCAGCTTTTTTTGGCTTCAAAGATCAACAAAGAATAACAGCCCCACCTGAAAATATTTTTCATGAAAGACACCTCTACAATGGTAGGTACACACAACTGACATGTTTGAGTGAAGCATGTCAAGCATTAAGGTATGATTGTCAGTTTGCTTTTCATTTCTTGCAAACAGTTTATTTCTACTAGCTTCAAAAACTTCTGTATCCTTGCTTTCAAAGAAAAGCATTTCCCATGAACATTTAAACATTAAAGACATAAGCTACCAGCAACAGGTTTTTCCATTGTTTCATAACATCATATTCTCATCACATTTTTTGGTTACATTTGAAAGCATAAGAAAATTGTAATCATTACAATATAATGAAATCCCACATTTTAACTGTTTTAATCCCACTAGTGACCAAGACAGAATTTCTCATAACACAATCAGTACAACATCAAGCAGACGAGTAATGAGAATAAAGAAAAATATCAATTGGAGGATAATTGGTTGATCCAATTTCAAATTCTCCAACCTAACATCACGTAAATTGTATGGCAGACAGTAAAGAGAATTACTAATGAGATCTTGAAAGTTTAAGGGTTATGTAATCATATGTACCAGAAAGACAGCAAAGAAATGTAACATACTCCAGTAAAGTGTTCTTATGTACAATAAAGTTTCAAACTCACTGAAATTAAGTTGACTTCATGATTCAGATTTTAGTTTAACAAATGTGAAATATCTCTTTTACAAGGATGAAAAGAGAATGCCATTTATGAATTTTAAAATTAAATGTACAAAAACTTAAAGATGGAATTTAAAAAGACTGATAAAATATGGCATATCTATTCACTGCGATTTTAATCATTGGTTGGCACACAGAGATATAAAGGAGGCTTTGTGAAAAAGACTAGGGCATTAAAATTAAAGAGGGGCATGTGACATCAACTAGTTTACTGATGTTCTCACCAGAATTCAGTCTGTAAAGAGAACTCTGCAACATTTCTGTTTTATCTTCTCACTCTTGAATTAAAACATAAAATTTAATTATTTTCAGGCAGGTTAAGGAGGAAATTAAAGGATGGATATATGTTTCATAAAAAGAAACCCCTTACAATAAAAATAAAGCAGAAGCATATTACCTACGTGTCTTTGCTTCTGAAGAAAGCTATAATTGGTATTTTTTAAGCAATTATCTACATAATTATGTAAACCGGGTGCAATATAAGGTCGTAAAAGCAATCATTTTATTCTAACTTTCCTCTTTCTAAGGTGCCTTTTGTATCAAATATATCAAGTTCAGTACCTCCAGAGTCATAAGGCAGGCTTTTGGGGCTAGGTCAATTTATCGAGAGTCAATTAAATATATTTTCCTAAAATCGTATGGAAAGTTTGAATTGTGCTTCACTTGTGCTACTTATACGGATTTATCGTTGTAAATTACTGATGAAATTCCGAGAGTGTGACTCAATTAATTCAAAAGAAAATATCCAAGTAGGTTACAGAAATGGTTCACGAATTTTTAAATTGGTAATGTGTTAACAAAACCTCTCTAAATTATGGTGCCGATTCAAATTTATCGTTCATAATCACCTATGAAATTCCGAGATTGTACCTCAATGAATTCAACAGAAAGTATCCAAGAAGGTTACAGAAACGGACTCTCGAAAACGGCACTCGGATTAAAAAACTGTAAACATAATCATCAAACGCTAATCATGTGCTTACCAGCGTGCTTGTGAGCTCAAATTGCCAAGACCCTGTTTAATTACACGATTACAGCGCCGACGCTCCTTGCAAAAATGTGATGACTATCGATTTCAAAGATCGATTCTTCAGTTTCCAGCATTAGGAAAAAAATATCGTATCGCAAGCATATTCATCATAAACCAAGCAGTAAGAACGTCTCGAGATGTAGAGAGAAGAGAGAGTGGCTCCATGTTTTGTGAGACAATTGAAATTATTTCTTGTAGTTCGTACGAATCGAGTAGAAAGCATGAAAACATAGCGCTGAAAAGTACCATGACTGAACAATGTAGTTCACTCATTCAGTAGTAGAACTAGTTCCAGTTTAGTCGCGAGTTTGTTCGCACCACATCTTTGCGCAGATGTTTGACGGGTTCTCACATGACGATAGTGTCAAAATCAAATTACCGCGTCAGACTTAATGTAAACATGGACATCGCTGACTCAATCTCATTTCATTTCAATTTTGGGAAAGGCTACCACTTCGCTTTTAGGCTGAGACAACACTTCTTCGACAAAGCGCGATTTTTTTTTAAATGAAGAGAGTAAATCCTGCGAAAGTTGGATGAAGAGAGAAAGAGGTAGAAACTTGCGCTCGCCGTTCGTTATCATTTGAACGCTTTTTAGGTAAAACAAAATCCGTGAGATAACTTCTTTAAGTATTATTATTAAGTATGGAAAGGTTCTTAGCAGTTCATATTCACCTCAGATATCAAGAGCTTGTGACTCACAAGCGCGCTGTGCTTGTGGTGATCTCTATGTGGGTGTTTATTGCATTATTATCTTCAGTAACATTTAAGGGGGCTGCGTAGTACTCGGGATGCTATTGACTTAGTTATTGCAGTAGCTAGTTTCATTCTGACATTCGTGTTGTACATCGGGATATATTTAACCGTTCGACGGCACAAGAATCAGATGCAGTCCATACAAATACGAGGTGAAGCTCAGTCTGATGGGATGAAAAACTTTGCTGGCCGCATTAAATCTGCAGTTAGTATATTCTACGTATATCCCGCGCATATAATATGTTATCTGCCTTTTCAAACTTATTAACCGGGAAAGATGGATTTCAATGAAACCGTAATGCTAGATTTATTTTCGATGGACAGTGCAATTTGGTTTTGTTGATAAAAATAAAAGTAGAAGCAGGCATATCATTTTCTATATCAACTTTTAGATGAATTTTCGAAAGCAGAATACAACCAATCAAACAAGGCACTTGACTACCCTGAACGAAGAAATAAACTTGGTGTAGAGCTCCTTAATCTCCTGCTCGTCTCACTTTGCTCCGCCGAATTGCTTGTCAAATTTGTTATAGAGAGAAAAGCGCAAAAAGATAGGCTCCCTCTTTGTGTTTGCTCACTCTTTTTAAATTTCAGATGGTCGCGGAGGATAACAGTGCTTTTACTTCATTTTTCTAATAAAATTCTCTTAATGAGACGAAGTTTTAGTAACTAATGTTCTGCAATGTTGATCAGTTATTGCAGTAGCTAGCTTCATTCTGACATTCGTGTTGTACATCAGGATGTATTTAACCGTTCGACGGCACAAGAATCAGATGCAGTCCATACAATTACGAGGTGAAGCTCAGTCTGATGAGATGAAAAACTTTGCTGGCCGCATTAAATCTGCAGTTGGTATATTCTACGTATATCCCGCGCATATAATTTGTTATCTGCCTTTTCAAATTTTCTGGGCTTGTATCAAATTCTATGGCTCAAGCATTGCTCCTGAAAAGACTTTTTCTTTTCCCACTGACTCTGATCTTTCTTGATTCATCTTTGAACACTGTCATTTACTGTTGGAAATTAATAGATATTCGACAAGCGATCATAGACGTACTACGGAACATGTCTCGGACGGACATCCATTTCGCGAAATTTGAAATTGCTCCTCAAGTGTTTTCCCTACCAGCAACTAAACCAGTGTTTGTGACTTGTAAGAGTAGCATGTAGTATGTTCTCAGCACTGTAATTGAAGGAGCCAAAGCTAAGATTTTTTACACATAAAATGCAACAGTCAAACAACTTACAAATTAATCGGGAACGAGAGAAACTTATTGAACAGTAGAGTTAAGTTTAATTTTTGGATGGACAGTGAAATTGTTATTAATTTTTAAACGTTGTAGCAGACATATTGTTTTCTGCATGGGCGTTTTTGCGTTTTTATCACTTTTCGAAGCGGAATACAACCCATGAAATAGAGCTGTTGATTGCTTTGAACACTGAACAGCCATGCTGAAGGAACTTAACTCCGTGTTGGGAGTTTTTTTAAGTCGCTTGTAACATTTCTCTGACTCAAGCCAACCATCTTCAAGTCTCAAACCAACAATCGCCATTTTTGAAGAAACTGACCCAAGAACTCCTTTCGTCCACCCTTTGGGGGGGGGGGGGGGGGG